GTCGACCTAAGGTGGAAAGGGCTCGTGGAACTGCAGACGTTGGCCTCGCCGTACCCATGCGGCCACAGACTCCACCCAAACCCACCTCGCCCGTGTCCATACCCAAGTCTTCGCTCAGACAGAACCCGTCACCGCCCGCACAACAGACGATACGCGCCCGCTCAAGTCAAATCTTCCGCCCCACGACACGACCTACCGTACCACAGAACGAGTTTGGAAGCTGGGATCCACCTCCGCTGTTCCAGGCATTCCCGCAGTCCTTGAAGCACGCAACAGTACAGGCATGTGTTTTTGCTCCAGAAGTTCTAATGAGATCCCAAAGTCAGAGACGGCAAGCCGATTCGCTTCGAGAGAGGATGGACAGCCAGCGCGACCTGTCTTCAATCACCGAGAACGTCATCGAGACAAAGAAGATGGAGAGAACACACAGACGACTCATGTCCAACTCAGTCTTGCACCCGCCAATCCCCGAGCTTGTGAACAAGATTTACATCTTGGTTACTTCCGGATTCGTACTTCAGTATGCTGGTGACGGGCCCTTTGACAGGTTGCCAGAGAAGGTGCTCAAGCTGGGCAAAGAATCAGCGGCATTCGCATGCGATCTCATTCCTGGCAAACACTGGGTGCTGCAGATCTCCAGCCATGCTACCGATGATGGGACTTTCGAGACGGGCCCAAAGAGCTCTCTCCTGGCTCGTCTGCGATCGCAAAACGTCACTATGCGCAAGGCAGCGACTAGCTTTCTGTTGGTCCTTGAGAGTGCAGAAGAGATGGATGCATGGATGACTACGGTGCGAAAGGAGATTGACAATCTTGGTGGCATGAAGGCAAAGGATGATTTGGTTAGGGCTTCTTCTTCCACGGACGATTTTAGAGGGAAAGCTTCCTCCGAGACGACCGCTACGCAACACCGCGAACCGCACATTGTCAGCAGGGCCGCCCCAGTTGATTCGTTATACTCGACATCACCCAAGATCGTCACCTCCGATTGGGAAGCGCATCAAGCTGAACAATCAAAACGTAGCATCGACTCATCCAGTGGACAGTCCGCTCGGTACAACAACAGTCGGCTGTCCGTCGAGGTGTCATCCGTCGCTTCAACGCCCATTTCTCAACATCAGATACAACTGGACCAACTCCGCGGCCGTTCAAGACATTCTTTCATGTCCACAACGACGACGGGTTCTGGTACCGGTACTCGAAATACCTCGCGCGAATCGTCCCCAGCTCCACAATCGCCCCTCAAGGAAGAATTTGGGTCAGCTAGCGAGCATGAACCTCTTCGGAGCGCCATGTCTCTGCGATCGTTCCACATGAACCCTGCCAACACAATGTCCTCCCGACGCAGGTCGATGCAACCTCTGCCCATCACTGATGAGAACTTCCCCCAGGCCATCAAGACGCCCCCAAACAGCAAGCGACATTCACTTGCTAGTCCAACTTCGGCGACCACACCAGAACTTGGAGCACCTTTTGTTGTACGTCCACCAATGCCAAAGGTCAGCACACCTCCCGCGATCGAAGAGGTTGCTCCGGTTAGTGAGCCCATTACGGCGGCACGCGCGTCACCTCCCCAGGTCAAGATCGATGTTCCTGAGCAACCCAGTGATGAAAATGTGCCCACACGCGAGGATAGCCCAGTAAGATTCAATGCGCCTACTTACACTGCACCGCCTCGGAGGGATGTGATTTCACCACCGCCAAAAGATCGTGCTCCTGTACCTCCACCACAAGCTCGTCAACCGCTCGCGGGCTCTTCTCCTACATTCGTCGCAGGTCCAGCGCCTCTGTATGCCTCCACCAATGTAGACAGGTCTGCACGTCGAACATCAGCGTCTCCGAAGCCTTTCCTTCGACCATTCCCAGTTCGCCCCCAGGCCCAACATGGTGATTCGACAACTATAGTGGAGAGGCGTCAATCGTCTCTTACTGCACCTTTTACACTATCTCTGCCGATCAAGGTCAACCGATCAGTGACTGCGCCTATCAGGCCTCCTTCGGCCGCGTCCAACATGACTCCAATCTCAAAGCCCCATAGTCTACAAGTTGGACCGACCGTCTTGCGTCGCCCAGCTTCAGTTCAGATTCGTCCTGCCAACTCGGCGGCCTTTACATCATCTCGTCCAGTGCTCGCAATCTCTTCAACGCCTTCTTTTGTCCCTGGTCGGAGAATGTCAAACGTACCCAACCCAGCTACAACTGCCCACAAACCAACACCTAGTGTCGAGATGCTAAGGCAAAAGGCGTTCCAAGAACAGCTTCAGCAGAGAACCATCACCCCAAAGCGTAGTTTTGCATCCATGGGTCTACCACCGCCAGCTCCACCGCCTACTGTGCCTCTTCCTTCTCCACCTCGCAATCTCGCCTTGCCCACCCCACCACCTACGATGCCGCTTCCTCCGCCGCCACAGAGCATGGGTCTCCCGGCGCCGCCTCCAAACATGCCACTCCCTCCAACACCCCCGGAAGTAGCATTGAGAGGAACCGCCATCTAAACATGCGTGCCATGTTGCCTAATTTCTGCCCATCACCGGCTGCTGGCCTTCGCCGAAGCGTGGGCCTTTTTTATCTTGATTCTTGCTTTTGCATATACTGCGTCCTATTTGCGTCAATTACGTTGTCATGGCTTTTCTTATGTCCCCTCTCATGTCGACCGATAAACCGTTTGCTTGTCGCGCGATACCAGTCTGCTTTTATCGTTTTCCTTGTTGTTTGCTACTTGCTTTCGTCATGTATTTCTACCTCTTACTTACGCTTCATGTGTATTGTTTTATCCCTCTCTCCATACCACCCCACCACTACCACCACCAATTTTCCTATCCCATTCTCCTTATGTCTGCCGGCGGCTCTTTGTGTGCTTGCGGTGATGATTCAGGGCTCTGCTCCAAGGCGGGTATCTGTCTATCGCTGTTTCAGCTCGGCTGTCCTTGACTGGAAGCTCTTCTCTCTCTTTTTTGCTCTCTCTCTATTTGATAACTAGAATGTGGAATCTCTCGCGAGATAAGGATAAAGAAAGGGCAAAACTACCAGGCTGGGAGTTTTTGTGTTTTTTTCTTTTTGGGAAAGACAGGAACACCGACACAGAATGCACGTTCACTCGTTGCGCCGGGAATGCCTCTTGTCGAGGCTGATTCTTTCAAAAAAGCGATAGTTTTGTAGTTATAGAATTGAACTCCTTGACGGAAAGTTTTTATTGTTATCATGTTACTTTGTTTGTTTGGCCTTAAGTGATGTGATATGCGGTCTTGACTGGAATGTAAGAATGTAAATGTAAGAAACTAGCTTTTTCCCGGGTAGGATAAAGGCCACAATCCGAGCCAGATATGTTAGCACGACTATCGGTGACGACTATTGTTGTCGTCATAGCTATTTCTCTGCTACTGCTTGTGACATCAGATTAAAAGTTGCACATGACTAACAGAACACCAAAGAAGCTTCTACCTTTACTCTCAACATATCCTACAAACGTCCCCTCATATCCCCAACCGTATATGTTCAACCTTAGTATCAATCCTATGCATACAACTCCACTCATCCAAGTAAAGTTCCTGCACCAAATTCCGACTCCCAAACCACTTCTCCCCCAACCCAGCCCCAGGAAGTTCAGCATTAAGCTTCAGCGCCCTCGCACTACCGGCCGCAGCCCCATACTGCTCGAAATGCTTCAACGAGTCAATCGCCCACACCATCTCTTCATTGTCCCGATAATGCTCTTTCAGCCTCGCCCGTCTAATCTCTTTACGAATCTCCGCGCCAGCAGTCGCCCACGGTGCCGGATAATCCGACGGCAAAAGTTTCTCCCCTTTTCTCAACCGCGCATTATTCGACTGGATTTTCTTGGCTGCGTCGGCCTGGTATCGTGCTTTCAACACCTCGAGCCGGTGCTGCTCGCGGAAGACAGCTGCAGTAACTTTTTCCACTCGAGTTTATCTCGCGCGTGGAGATGTTAAGACTGAGCCCTGGTATCTCCGTATCATTCACCAACCCGCCTATACTAATCGTATAATTCGGCATCTCAGCCTTGTAATTATCCACGTTTTCCTCCCACCTACGCATGATCTTGAGATGATGCTGCCGGCCCCTCTTGCCCTTTTCCCGCGTCGAATCCGCATCTGGATGCGAATCTTTGAACCACGCGATATGTCCATCCTCGCCTTTTCCGCGCCGCGCGAACCGCGTTGATATCTCCGGGCGCTTGCTCTTGCCGCCGAGGTTGTACTTTTCGAGCTGGAAGTCGATGTGGATGTCGGGGAGGAAGTGCTCGCCAAAGGCGCGTTCGACGCAGGCGCGGAGGGGTGACGAGACGAGGCGGACCGTGTTCCAGAGGTGGGCAAGGTCGGTGTGGAAGCGGAGGATGTTGATCCAGACTTCGGTTGGGAGTGAGGGGCAGAGGGGTTCACGGGTGGGTTTTTGTGGTGCTTTCTTTGCGACCATGGTGGGGTCTACATTGTGGGGTTGGGTTGGGTTTACATGATGTGCTGGGTTCTTGTCGTTGTGGATGTTGGGTGTTGATGCCTGGGTTTGCGCGAGTCAGGGGTCGTGACGTAAGCGGGATTCATGACATGATAGTGCAGTATCTCGCAACACCAATCTACTCGAACTAAACAGGGGATCTGGATAGAAACAGCGGGATGAATTGGATGTGTTAGAATGAATATGATAAGACAGTTTGTCCATTAAACGATGAAAAATAAACTATATAAAGCAACTTTCCAGATGTACAACCAAGTCATTCGTCTCTAGTCTTCAGATGTATCCATTACATGTCTACCAGAGCAACGTTGACTTTACGTGAATCGCCCATACGTCCGATTACCCGTCCTACAATACTGCAAAATAAGCCCTGTTGATACGGCAAAGGTGAGGTTGAATCAAGTAACGGTCGTTGCAACGAGTTGAAGTAGATGGTTATGATTGATTAGAGGAGGTGGGCTGCAGCTCGCGTACGAACTGAATCCCACCCCACGGCACGGGCCACGCACGTAGTCACGTGCTCGCCACGTACGTACGGTGGCTCGAAACTAAGAGCAACCAACAAGCCCCTTGTCAAGTATCATGAACATCACTTTCGTTTCGATCTATAGCCCCTGATACGTAATCTAATATTGTTATATCTTGAATCACATCTGCTTTTTACTTGTAAGAGGACGCAAAATCGAAAAAGTTTGTTAGAGCTTTCGTCAGCCAAAATTTCTACTACGTTCACTAAGTATTAAACTATAAGCGAGAGGAGACAATTGTGTGAGACATACAAAACATGTAGCATATACTATCCCGATATCCTGAAAATGAATCAGTACAAGCATGTCACTTCACCGCATCGAACAATATACCCTATAAAACACGGAGTCTTGAATATTGTATTAAACATGCATCTCTACCTCTGAAAGGTGGTGCAAGTTTTCAATCCAAGACAAGGTCGGAACATCGTATACGCATGAAGCATATCTCCCGTCCTGACCTGACAACCAAAAAGGCCCATCCATACAGACAAGCCCGTTTACATTGCCGATTTACATTGTAACCCCCATCCGTAATCTTGGAACCATGTGTATCCCCAACTCCAACATCAACATGGGAAAGCCAAAGCTCATCCTCTCGATCCAGCCATGAACTCCTCACGTCTTGAAAACCTCTACCTTCTCGGCCGCCGTGGTGAAAGCCTTGCTTCCGTTAGTCCAAAATCATCGAAAGCGCACTCAGCCAAACCAACATACCGAAAAACGTGTGAGCGGGAAGATTCTACTCAGCCTTGGCGCCTTCGACCACCTCCGTCTGCGCCTCGCGCGCCGCCTCCTTGAGCGCCATGATGTTGGATTTTGTGCGGTCAGACAGGAAGCGGCGGGCGCAGAACGGGGCACCGCACGATGGCGTCTTGTCATCGACTGGTTTGCCGTCGTGGGCTGTGGCGAAGGTAGCCAGGACGACGACGACAGCGGCGACGAGAGTGGGGACGCGCATCGTGAAGTGTTCTGATGATGAGGTTAGATTGGGTGACTGTCACAATGGTCGTAGTGGTGGTATCTGTGAGCAGCGAGGTGGCGAGGATTTAGTGGTGATGGTTGGCGGTTGGGTGCGGTAAGGAGGGGGGAGTGGGAAGAAATAGTCCCTGGGAGTGCCTTATAAGGTCTGTGGGAACTGAGGAGTGAAAGATTGTGGCCAATGCGCCGCTCTGTCATGTGATGGCGTTGTGGGAGCGCAGTGAGCCTGAGCACGTTTTACGGGCTTCACCGCGAGTTATCATAGGTGGGAGTGGGAGTGGCGCACCACTTGAAGTGTGAATATCTAATTACGCAAGAGCTCACTGGTTGGATTTATGAGCTAATTGATAAACAAGAATGTTTGCTTGCGTTGCGAATTAGTCAGGGGTTTAGATGGCGTGCGAAGAAGGGTCCAGCTATTGTGATCTAGAAACAAGGGAAAATAGCTCAAATAATGCTCTCGAGCACGCGAGAACTTGTGACGTAAGGATGTTGCATGTATGAATCAAGAAGACCGTAGTGTGATAACGCGTGATGAATTTGATATGATATAAATCTGATCTGGTATATATATATTGAAAGAAACTAGACACATCATTCGATGTATGCACTCCAATCCATCTCTCCCTCATCATCTGAATCCACAAAGGGCGCTCTCGGCCCGCTCGTCTCGATAGACGGTGCGGGCACATCCATGTCCATATCACTGAAACTCTCTTCAGATGAGGCCCGCGGTGTGTCTGGAAGATCGTCTTGAACCTGGCTACTCTGCGCATGCAAATCACGTGGCTGCATGTTCCTCGTCTCGATAGACTGTGTAGGTACTTCGGATTCTGTCCCACTGCTTTCGATCCTGGATCCCAAATGTTCTGTAGCGCCATCAAGGGTTTTCAACTCGATAGTTTGCTTTGACTTCCGCTTGTTTGGCTTACTCTTTGCTCGTGTTGGCGCATCAGTGGTGTTGTTGCCGCTGTCTGTAACATCGGATTGCAGAAGGGGTGGTAGAGCGGCAGGCTTCTGATTTGCAAGGAACTGTGCCGGGCTGACTGGGGTGTCAAACTCGTCCCATTCTGCACGGTACTCTGTCGATGACCGCCAGTCGTCGCTGTCGAGATGCGTTTCAACCTCTTCTTCATCTTCCTCTATGCTGCCATCACTATCCACGTCACTCTCTTCGTCATGCGAAATTGGCTCAAAGTCGAGCATGGCACAAAGGGCACGCTCTTCCTGATGGCTTGCGTTTCGGTCAAACTGCTGCAAGCTCATTGTTTGAGGCCTGGGCACCTTCTTGGGTTTGGCAGGAGTAGGAGGTGGAGGTTCAACGACGGAGGGTTTGAGACTAGGGTCTGATAGGGCAAGCTTTTCTATGCGGAGTCGAGTCGCCGTTCGCGTAGCTCTTGGCTTGGACAATTCATCAGAGTCGGTATCTGTTATTCCTGATGAGTCGGTCAACGGGTCAGTCGGGGCCAAGATTCTTTCCACTTCATCCCAGGGCACCTCTCGTGAAGTTCCGTGGGGTTTGTAATGAGACCATTTGCCGCAATCGACACGAAGCCCACAGCGCCTAGCTACCCCTCTCCATCTCTCGTGGCCGTTTCTTTTCATGCCCAATACATCGATAGCAGCCAACACATCCCTCTTCTTTAGCAAGGGCGTATTGATCTTGTCAACTCGCTGGCGACGCGACCGAAGACGCGAGTTGGCTTGGAAGATGGCCGTCTGGACTAGGCGTTTGGTAACAGAGACGACGAGGGTGTGGAAGCTGTTCAATGCGCTGCGGTACATTGCAGGCTCTTGAGCCAAATCGGACGTATATTCGGACCAGTGTGCCCAAGGCGAGGGTATGGTGGGTGAGCGGTTCATGAAGAGCGTCTTTGAGAGCTTGAGCATGGTCCGGGGCTGTAACAGAGTGGCTTCTGGTACAGCTTCGAGTATCGGGGTCGTGGTCGCTTTCTCCTGGGGCTTCTCGGGAGGCTGTGGGTACACGCATTCGTCGTTTCTTCGCTTGCAACTGGCGCATGGTTGTTCTCTGTCGCACTTTTTCTTGAGTTTCCTGCACGTGGCACACGATCTGAGGTGAATTAGCGCGTGGTCGAATCAGTCACGGCTTTCACGTACCCTCCGACTGCTCCTCCACCTTTGCGTGAGAATTCGGGCTCACTCGCCGGTGGTGATGTTGACGCTCGCGTTCGGGCGCTATCGATGGCGATTTCAATGTCTTCAGCGATTTGGGGGGTAATAAGCCAATAATCGCCATATTTGTCTATTTCCTGGTTGGCTTCGCATGTCTCGTCGTACCAGGCAAGCGTGTCAGCAGCGAGGTCAAGCTGCTCATTGCACTTTCTGCCCACGTCAAAGGCGGCGGGTATGTCGCGAAGCGTCAGCGGGGGCTCATCCTCGGGCACTGTGGCATCTTGTAACAACAGCAGGAACTCCCGTGTCTCTGGTATGCTCTTTGTGCCAACCGCTCCTGCTATGCCAGCCACATGGTCCCTTCCTAATCGGCCAAGAGCAGCGTAGAAGACATTCTGCTCTCTAATCGACCATCGCGATGCGCCCACGTACTTGATGTTGTACTGCAACTGACTTTCGCTATCAGTATCGAAGCGTGCAGCTGCGCAGGCCACTTCGGCGTTGAACAACAGGCGGTATGCATCGTTGAAGGGTTCTTCCGGGTTGCCCTCGCCCCTTCTGACGCCTAACTTAATGTGCGGTGCACTGGGTACTTGCGACTGGCGGCGCGATGCTGGTTGCGAAGCTTGCCTCGAGCTCTCCTGGCTCGAGTCCCGTGATGAATCAGAGTCGGAATCATCAGACGACGAGCTCATGGTAGGCGTGGGCAATCTTGCACGGGGACGATATCCTCACGAACCGGAGGTTTGGCTGTCGTGCATGTTTGTACAAAGACGACAGCCATGTTGCGCGGTGAAGGGCAAAACTGCGCTGGTGAAGGTGACCGGGCAAGTTTTTGGTGGGGCGCGACTGCCCTACGCTGGGCGCACCACGGTTGGCATGCGTCATGAATCGTGACTTCGCGACACCCTCGCAATTTCTTCCCTACGCGTCTTCCATGTTCCGTCGTCCTCACCATGCGCTGAAGCTTTTCAGACGGGTGACTTTCACACCCGTCTCTGCCGGATTCAGATGCGCGTCTGTAGTTCCAGCCCGCAAGGCGAGGAGGACTCCATCTCCGTCTTCTTCGCCGCCATCGCCACCTACGATTCAACCCAAGTTGGTCCTGCGTGAATACCAAGAAGAATGTATTCAGGCAGTTGTATCCTTCTTAGAGACTGGTCATAAGCGATTGGGTGTTTCTCTGGCCACGGGGGCGGGCAAGACGGTCATCTTCACCCATCTCATCGACCGAGTCCCTGCTGTCGGCGATGCTTCGCAGACACTCATTCTCGCCCACCGCCGGGAACTCGTCGAACAGGCCGCCCGTCACTGCTCCCGTACCTATGTAGATAAGCGCGTGGATATTGAGATGGGCAACAATCATGCCTCTGGTGCTGCCGACATCACAGTTGCTTCTGTACAAAGCATCGTGTCTGGTGAACGCTTGCAGAAGTTTGACCCCTCCCGGTACAAGCTAATCCTTGTCGATGAAGCCCATCACATTGTCAGCCCATCTTATCTCGATGTCCTCAAGCACTTTGGGCTGAGATATTCCGCCGACTGGACCGACGCCAAGGTCCCTGCCCTGGTCGGCGTATCTGCCACACTCTCGCGCTTCGATGGACGGAAGCTGGGCGCAGTCATTGATCACATTGTGTATCATCGGTGGGAATAGCCAATGCGTAACATGGGGAATTAAGCTAATGTAGCCAGTGACTATCTTGACATGATCGATGAAGGCTGGCTTTCCGACGTCACCTTTACCACTGTAGAGATGAAGGCCGATCTAACCAAAGTGGGCACAGCCGCCAACGGAGACTTCCAAACCAGTTCCCTCTCCAAAGTCATCAATACTGACGAGACTAACCAACTTGTTGTCAAAGCATGGCTGGCAAAAGCAAAGGACCGTCGCTCAACCCTAGTCTTCTGCGTTGACCTGAGCCATGTCACCAACCTCACTGCTAGATTCCGAAAACACGGGTTCGATGCACAGTATGTCACAGGTGACACGCCAGCCAAGATTCGTAGTGCAAGGATCGAGTCTTTCAGGAACGGCGAGTTTCCCGTACTGCTCAACTGCGGTGTCTTTACCGAAGGCACCGATATTCCGAACATTGATTGCGTTCTTCTGGCTCGACCTACCAAGTCCCGAAATCTCCTTGTCCAGATGATCGGCAGAGGTATGCGTTTGCATGAGACCAAACGGGATTGTCATGTAATCGATATGGTATCCACGTTGAGCACTGGTGTCGTATCAACACCGACTTTGTTTGGCCTGGATCCCGATGAGTTTGTCGAAAATATGGATGCGAAAAGTTTAAAGGAGCAGGGCGAAAGGAGAGAGTCAGAGAGACAACGTGAAGGTGAAGTCGCAAAGCTTGTCAAAGAAGCCCCGACCAAGAAACTTCCCGGCACGATTGAATTTACCGACTATGACTCTATTCATGACCTCATTGCCGATGGAACAAGCGACCAATACTTCAGATCCCTCAGCCCAAACGCGTGGGTTAGCGTTGGGGCAGGCAAGCTCATTCTGTCAAGCAACGGCGGTAACTACATCAAGATTGAACCATCTGAAGACAAAGAAGACCAGTTCGTAGCAAAGTATTACTGGAAGCTGCCGGCCATGGACAAAACCAAGAGTCCGTATGGTAGAGCCCGTACTATTGCAGAAGGAGACTCACTGGAACACGTTATCCACGCTGCTGACACCTTTGCTGGCGAAGTGTTTCAGCACATGTGGATAGCAAGAAATCAATCCTGGAGAAGAAGTCCGGCTTCGCAAGCTCAAATCGACTTCCTTAATAAGAGTCGGCCGGCCGAGGATCAGTTGAAGCCAGGGGATGTCACCAAGGGAAAGGCGGGTGATATGATTACACGCATCAAGCATGGAGTCAAAGGACGTTACGAAAAGGCGACCGCCAAGCAGAGAAGCAATGACCGCGTGAAGCAGCGCGCTCAGACCTTGCGCGAGCGACTCACTGGCCAAACTAAAGTAGGACCACTCGCTGGTACGTTCCATCCAGAACTCTCATATCGTCGGAAGCTTCCACTTTTGTCCTTGCTAACACAATGACTAGAGGTATCCTGAAGAATGAACCCGACATGCAAGTTCCTTTGATACGAGTGAACCAGTTCACGCAAGCTACCTTCTACTGTCAGGAAGCATGCGACCCTATCCCATAGGGTTGCAAAGTGCACCTCAAAGTGGAAACAGATGATTCAGTAGATGTAAGCGGCACGATACACTATTCCTTACAATGGGAACAGACGTTGGTGCCCCGACGTGCGGTTGTGTGACGAACCTAGCTTTGGACGGAACTTCTGCTGGAAAGTATGAACTTCTCCCAAACCTCTCAACTCTTCAAGCCTTCGCAGAAACTCAACTTCTCGATCGCTCAAGCTTTCATAGCTCTCCCGACTCTTCAAAACAGCACAGTTTCTGTGCCGCGAAAATCTTGCCATGGTCATGCTCTGGGTGATGAATATATTTGTGACAAAATAGTTGGCAGTCGGTGCATTCAATTTGAACAGGTGAGTTGCGAGTCATGGCAAGAAGGCAAGTATCCCGTAACGAGTCGTAAAAGTCAATCAGACTGTGCCTTGCAGTGGTCTGGCGACGGAATCGGGCCAATGCGACTTCTCAGGTCAGCAACGTCGCGGCGGTCTTTTTCTCGGCAGTCGCGTTCTAGGGTCCGCGGAGAAGCACGACCGGCCGACATGCTATCAGTGGCCTTCTCCGTCAAACACCTCCAATTGAGCTTCAAATCCTGTCGCGAAGAGATACCGTTCGATGTTGATGTGAGACCTTGTGCTACTTCTCCGTGGCACTGGGCGTCTAGAAGCATATTCCAACCACCCAGCTCTGGTGCGCTGTTTGAACCGCAAGCTACACGAATGTCTCAGCCGAGGCATCAGCATGACAAAACACTCGCTCATACGGAAGTGCAAAAGGTTTACCACAATAATTTGTGATTTCCGGGATTCTTCAAGTCCACCACTGACATGGCTCGGAGAGCTGAATTTTACAAATAAAGCACCTCTAGTCGGCGACGGTGCGCTCTAGTAGTGTATCTCCGCTGAGCACACGTTATACCCGCGATTCAGCCTCGAGCCCCCACACCAAATGCAGCTCACACGGTCCGCCAGGAACATTACTACCCGCAGCACAAAAATGCTCGCTGCCAGATCATATGGTTCCCGATGTCCGCGAATGAACCCGGCTAATACCCTTGTCAGCCATGGCGGGCGCTATTCCCCATTCAACACCAAAGATAAGGTCGCATATGGCAGCATATAGTAATTCGTCGTGATCATACCCAGCTATTCGATAGCAGCTGGCACTATGACGGAATCCAGTGTTCGAGAACTTCCCCACAGATCGAAGTTGAGTTTCCGCGGCATCCAGCTACTGAAGCGGACTGCTTATGTCGGTGGTTACTAGCAAGATGACAAGCGTAACCTTCTTGGAGCACTACCGGGCGTAATCAAGTCTCCTTAATCCCAGAGATTCGTTTTGGCTGCAGCATTCGCAAGTCATCTTCTATCACAGCTTTGGATAGCACCCCAGCCTTTTGCCATGAGTGTAGCTACGCAGAATCCAGCTGGAGTTCCCATACCACCAGCCACTGAACACCAGCCACAGCTTTACGCCGCTTCCAAATCGATACAACTACCGCCATCACCGCCAGAAACCGTGGATGGGGATGACGCTAAATCTACTACGTCAACATCGACAGAGCCTGATTTTTCACTTCCGCCACCGGCCAACAACCCACCACAAGTTCTGGATGTAGACAAATCCACCCCGGATGCGCATGTCCCACGAGATTCGCGACTGATCAGACTGACTGGTGTTCATCCTTTCAACTCAGAAGCACCATTGACCGAACTTTTTAACGAGGGTTTCTTGACTAGTCCGGAATTGTTTTACGTCCGGAATCATGGTCCAGTGCCTGAGGTTCAGGATGCTGAGTGTTTGGACTGGGAGTTTTCGGTGGAGGGGTATGTCCTTATCTCTCATCAGCAAAAACACCGTGACGCTAATTGTCCTGTAGTCTTGTAGCAAATCCTCTCAAAATCACATTACGACAACTGCTCGAGGAGTACGAGAACGTCACATACCCAGTGACTTTGGTTTGTGCGGGAAACAGACGGAAAGAACAAAACATTGTGAGAAAAAGCAAGGGCTTCTCATGGGGTCCAGCTGGTGTTTCGACAGCACTGTTCACTGGTGTTGTCATGAAGGACATCATCGAGCGGGCGAAGCCATTGCGAAGAGCGAAGTACGTATGCATGGAGGGTGCCGACAAGCTTGTGAGTCCTGCAACCTATCGCCAATCATCCACCTCTAATTATGTACGTAGCCTAATGGGTATTACGGTACCTCGGTAAAGTTGAACTGGGTCATGGATCCAAACAGGGGTATCATGTTGGCGCACAAGATGAATGGCGAGATGCTAAGGCCTGATCACGGCAAACCGTTACGAGCTGTTATACCCGGCCAAATAGGTGGTCGTAGCGTGAAATGGCTGAAGAAGCTCATTGTTACTGCTGAGCCAAGCGACAACTGGTACCACATTTACGACAACAGAGTTTTACCGTAAGCCGTCCAGTCAACCGCTAGAAATGGAATTAACAACGAATAGTACAACGGTCGACCCCGATGAGGCAGCAAAGAATTCCAAATGGTGGATGGACGATCGATATGCCATCTACGATCTTTCTCCTAACTCGGCCATTGCATATCCGGCGCACGACGAAAAGCTTGCCCTTGGTGCAAGTCCAGACTACTACAACGTCCGTGGCTATGCCTACAGTGGAGGCGGCCGACGTGTCACACGCTGTGAGTTGTCACTCGACAAGGGCAAAACATGGCGATTAGCAAAGATCGACTATGCAGAGGATAGGTACCGGGCCTTTGAAGACCGAGAGTTGTACGGCGCAAGACTGGACATGGACTGGCGCGAAACAAGCTTCTGCTGGTGTTTTTGGAACCTCGAAATTGCGACCGCAGAACTGAAAGAAGCAGATGACATCATGGTAAGAGTCATGGATGAGGCCATGTGCATTCAACCAAGAGACGTGTACTGGAGTGTACTCGGCATGATGAACAACCCATGGTTCAGGATTGTTATCAACAAAGAGGGAGATACACTTCGCTTCGAACACCCCACACAACCTGCGCTGATGCCTGGCGGCTGGATGGAGCGAGTGAAGAAGGCCGGAGGTAATCTCACCAACGCATATTGGGGAGAGAAGATTGATGCGCAAGAGTCTGAGCATGCTGCCGTCGAACAAGTGCAGGAAATCAAGATGACAAAAGATGGTGTTGACAGTGTCATCGACATTGATGACCTTCGGAAACATGACAACGCTGGGAACCCATGGTTTGTAGTCAACGGTGAGGTCTACGACGGTACTGCTTTCCTCGAGGGTCACCCAGGCGGCGCCCAGAGTATTGTGAGCGCAGCAGGCCAGGATGCTACCGATGAGTTCATGGCGATTCGTGAGTCTTTTCATATCAACCGAAATGCACACATCTCAGCTAACCTTTTTTAGATAGCGAAACAGCCAAAGCGATGATGCCAGAGTACCACATCGGTACCCTCTCTGAAGAGTCCCGCAAGGCTCTATCCGAAGGCGAACCTATCGCCGAATCAAACTCAACCCGTTCCATCTTCCTAGACCCCCGCGTATGGAACAAGACTGTTCTTCACTCCAAAAAGCATGTATCCTGGGACACGCGTGTCTTCCGCTTCAAGCTTGACCACCCGGACCAAGCGCTCGGCCTTCCCGCCTGTCAACACCTCATGATCCGGCTCCGCGACCCCGTAACCCGCGAAGCCATCATCCGCTCCTACTCGCCCATCAGCCAGACCACGCAAAAAGGCTACTGCGACGTCCTCATCAAAGTCTACGCCGACACCCCCGACCGAGCAGGAGGCAAAATGACAAAAGCACTCGACTCCATCCCCATCGGACACAGCGTCGACTTCAAAGGACCCATCGGCAAGTTCGAATAC